CAGGCCAATTTTAATATATCTAGCTCAGCTGCTATTGGTAAAAATATTTCAGATCTAAATTTAATAGAAAATGTGCCATCTTTGTCCACAGAAAATACCATTATTGTACCAGTTTCATCCACAGAAAATAATGTTATTTCACCAGCTTTGTCCCCACAAAACATTAATTCTAATTCTAGTTTAAATAAAACAACTGATGGTACTGAAATTGCCAGAAACATTAAAAATACGAACATCAGTACCATGATATCTATAAGTAATGATCCTGGTTAATAGAATATTAACAAATCCTTGATTGATTTTGTTGTAAAGTTTCGTGTCAAATCCAATAAAAATGTAGATTTCAGTCCATCGGAAAAACTATTTGGTTACAAATATTGTTGTTTGAACGTACAAAATACTTCGAAAAAATTAAATAATAGAAAAACTCATGAAAGAGACTATTTTTCATATTCAGAATCTGATAAGGCTCTATATTGCATTCCTTGTTATTTATTTAAAGATAATAGTTCTTTTTCTAAAAAGGGTGGATGCTCGGATTGAAAAAACATTTCACAATTATTATAACCCCACGTAAAATCTTCTACAAATCGCCGTTGTGCTATGACCCTGATTGAAAGAAGTAACGTGAATAGAAGTGTGGAAACTTTTTTGCTCAAAAATTTTAAAAACAAAGTAGGTTGTTGGAAAAATATTTTATATAGAGTTGTCTAGAGATGACAGATAGTGCTTGCCATTTTATAAATTTAGTTGGTCAATTTAGATGGGGCATTTTTTCATAATAATTCAAAAAAATTATTCTTTCTTTATTGTGACAATAAAGCGATGGGCTCTATTGAGAGCAAAATTAGAGCCAACGACAAAGGTACCGAAAGCCTAATCTGACACTTGTTGCTGAAGCGGACTATTAAGAAAAGTGGAAAAATGGAAACGGCACTGCTTCTTACTACTTGGCACACTATTATAAAACGTTTTGACAGTGTAAATAAAAAGTTACAAGCCGCCAATACAAACCTGCTTACTGTTGTTCAGCTATACGATTCGTTATTAAACTACTAGTTGGAAATGAAAGAAAATTTTCTTAGATTTCAAAAAAATTTATACCGTGAGGAACTAATGGAGGAAATTCTTCATTTTAAAAAGTTTTTTTCAGAAAAGTGATATATCCGAATATATGAGAAGTATCGCAAACCAGTTCAACTTTTTATGTATAAAAAAGTATAATAACGTGTTTCAAAATTTGGAAACCATTTTCAGAATTTATCTAGCCACAAGCAGTAACAAATTTTTCTGCTCAATAAATGTTTTTTTGTTCAAAAGATTGGTAATTTATCTTTGTTCACAATTAAAAAAAACCATATTAAATAACGTTTCAATTATGCACATCGAGCAAGACGTTTTAGAGAAAATTGAGTTTAAAGATATAATTAATAAATTAGTAAACCAAAAAATTATAAGTAAAACATAAATTATTTAATCTCATTAAACAATATGTATTTTATTTCAGTTCAAATAACACTAAAATTCTTATAAAGTGTCTAGGAGCGGCACATTCTTAAATCCGCCGCTGATTGTGTGTCCATTTTAGACAGTCGGCAGTTTGTTGCAATTTTAAAAGTTTAAACTCGCATACAAATTCAAATATTTAAAAACATAATATGCTTTTAAATATTTGAAATATTATACTCAGAAATATTGAACCAATACAATAAAACAACAATCATAATATGTCTTAAAATATTTGAATTTGTATATAAAATTTAAACTTTTAAAATCGTTTTTCTAACAGCTGTCTAAAATGGAGTAACCCATCAACATATCATTGATGCGTTGAAATTCTATCAAAACTTTCAGATTGAGATAAAAATTAGTGCCGTTTTAAATTTTCTCAGTCGTAAATTTTCAATTTAATTTAAAAAGTAATGTTTTTTTTTTTTTTTTTTAAAGTTAAATAAAAATGTTTTTTTATTAAAAGTTAAAAAACAATGGTTATAACATTTTTTGAAGTTCACGCGTCCTTCCCAACCAATGTCGCAAAACTTGCCCAGAGATGGGGTTTGAGCCAGGGATCTTACGCATCTAAGGCAAGTGCGCTACGGCTGCTTAACATTAAACATTTTACACTGCGCCACGGCTGCTTAACATTAAACCTAATTTTACTTTAACATTTTTAAATTTGTTTTGAATTGGGTTTGGGATCGTCCATAAATTACGTAACGCAAACTTTCACAAAAAACAAAACAAAAAAAGATCATAAGTTTTCCTTTTAATTTAAATAAAAAATCAAAATTGCCCATTAAGTTTAATAAAAATCGCCGCGTAAAGGGATTAAGCTTGTTCTCCATTCAGAACTATTTGCGCTTAGGAGGAACGGAAGAGTTCTTTGAGCATGCGCAAAAAATTCTGATTGGAGAACGGGTTTAAAAAAACTGTTTGCGCATGCTCAAAGAACTTTTCCGCTTCTCCAAAGCGCAAAAAGTTCTGAATGGAGAACGGGCTTTAATATCTCCTACTATTTTTTTACTTTGCGTAATTTATGAATAATCCCTTTGGAAGACAACAATTATCTTATTGTCAATAAAAATTATCAAAAAGAATATATTTAATTATTAGATACATTCTCTTTAATAATTTTTGATATATATTCTCTTCAATAATTCTTTAATCATATCCTTTTCAATAACACTTAACATGTAATTATTTCAATAATTCTTAATATATATTCTTTTGAGTAGTTTTTATTATTTATTCTATTCAATCAAAAGTAAAGTTTTAAAACATTCATGTTTTTGTGAAGTCTTATGAAACTTTCTTTTTTTATGAAGTTTTATGAAATTTTCTATTCTTAACTTAAGAAAAAAAAAAAGTTGCATTTTTAACAATTTAGATCATTTTTTTTAGCTGCCCCAAAAAGTCCTTACGGTCTTATCAGAGTGCACCGCAGAAGAGCATTTGAACGGAAGTTCACGCCTCCCTCCGTATCGATGTCGTGGGACTTATCCAGAGTGCCGTTGAACCACGGATCTCTTTCTTCTAAGGCAAGCTTATATAATAATAAATAAATAAAAATAATAATAATTGATAAATAAAAATAATAATAAATGAAATAAAAAAAAATAATTAAAATAAAAAAAAATAATTAAAATATAAAAAATAGTTAAAATAAAAAAATAATTAAAATAAAAAAATTATTAACATAAAAAAATTATTAAAATAAAAAAAAACTATTAAAATAAAAAAAATTATTAAAATAAAAAAAAATTATTAAAATAAAAAAAAATAATAATTATAATAAAAATAATAATAATAATTAATTAATAAAAATAATAATAAATAAGAATAAATAAATAAAGTAAAAGATGCCGTCCGTGCTAGCTTAAATTTTGTGAGTTCTTTTTTAAAATCTCCAATAAGAAACTCCCAAACAAAGTGGACTAGTATATAGGAAATAATAGGTAGATTTCTTGCAGTAAAAAGAATGTGTGATTTTAGCAATGAATGATATTGGTTTATCTTATATGCGAAACGAAGCTCAATATCCTTAACTTTTGGAACTTCGAGTCTCGGGACTTATTTGGCTAGCAGTTGAAGGGTTAGAGCAACGCGATGCTAATTTATTACCTGGTAAAAGTATGTTTGAATTTCTACAAAATGAAAATTTAAACTCCGAAATATGTTTGAAATTATAAAAGGCTTTAGAGGAACGAATTCGTATAAGAACACATTGTATAAGAACACATTGTAGAGTTAGCAACTCTTTTACTTTATTTGCAAAATCTTCAAAACATTTCCGATTCAACAAACCTTGTGTACTCTCTTTGGATAAAAACAGAAATTATTAAATTATAAAAAAAGTTATAATCTAGAATATTTCCAAAATGTAATATGAATACCGATTCAGACAGAGGAAATCGAAGAAAATTGAAAGAAATTGAGGAAATCGAGGAAATCGAAGAAACTACTTATCAAAGTAATGCTTTGTTAAAAGCGGTTATGATTAAAATCAGTTATTAGGTTTCTTAAAGAATCTGCAGAAAACCTTACTTACTCTGAAAGCTAAATTAATATTATTTGAGGCAATAAATTAAGGAACCAAAAACTTACATTTGTCCTTTGATGCACTTAAAACTGTAAAACCGAGATCATTTGTTATTTGTAAGTTATTTGTAATAAATTTATGATTTTATATAAATTAAATAAAATTTTTATCCATATTAAACTTTTTTAATGAAAATTCAAAAATGCACTCCATATTAGACAATATTTACATGTTTCAAACGTTTCCCAATCATTTCTGCGGCTATTTTGTACAAGAATATCTTTCCAAAGTGAAGCATGATTTAAGACGCAAAACTCTATAATATATGAAGACGAAACGAACCCACAAAAAAATATGAAGTGATATACTATATACGTATATTTGCAAAATAATTTTTTTTTCCAATATTTAGTAGATTTTTTTGAACTTTTAAAAAATCTAAAATGTCTGTTAAAAACTAATCAAATTTGTTTAGAAAATACTTTGACAATTTCTTATCAAATTTGTTACACAAAAATATTTTCCAGATTTGAATTCAGCCTCGTACTTTGCGTTTGAAACTGCTTGTTATAAAAAAACTTTGCGCTACCCTATTAACATGTCCTTAACATTTACTAGAAAGTATTTTATTTTAAGTCATAATGATTTATGATGACTATTTTATTTTTATATCTTTTTTATTTTTACTTATTTTGTTTTAACTTTGATTTGAATTTCAATTCTTTTATTTTTAGATTTTAAATTTTTTTTATATTTAGTTTTTTAATTATTAAAAATTTATTATTTAAGTTTTGAAATGAGTCAGTTTTTGGAGGCATTTTTAACGCTTATTTATAATTTACTTTAATAACTGATTTTTGATTTTACTATATGAATGGTGTATATTCATATACGTCATATACAACAATTTAAATCGTTTGGCAACGGGTATTGATATGTTTTTTTGAAACAGAATTAGAGGGAGAGATAATATATATTTGAAAGTGATACATATGTTTTGCGGTGAGAATAATTTTATAATAGGTTCGTATACTTAAAATTGTAAACAGTTTGTTTAATACTTCAGTAAAATGAATTTGTTAACCGTTTTGTTTTTCATACCATGCGGTAATATTTTTTTCATTTTGTTGTTAACTTTAAATTATTTTTATTATTATTCTATTGTTATAATAATTATTATTAACAGTAATTATTATATTAATTACTATTAATGATAATTATTATTATTAATAATCAATATATTAAATATTATTAATGATAATTATTATCCTAATTATTATTAACAATAATTATTATGTCAATTATTATTAATGATAATTATTATATTAATTATTATCAGTAATATTCAATATATTAATTTTTATTAATAATAATTATATTATTAATTATCATTATAATAATAATTATTATTATGTTACAAATTTTTTTTGGCTCTTAAATTTTTATTATCAACTACTCAGCGACAAGTTTAAAATGTTGGAGTGGGGTGACAACAAATAATGTTATTTCTCTAAATACATTCGTTACTATGTCAAACTGCAATCGATGCATGACTAAAAATGAAACGAATTCAGCTGGGTCCGTAATTACTCAAAGTTGCTACATGAATTTAGATTGCAACGGAGGATGCGGAGTTAGCATAGAAGGCTTTAATTGTGTGGTATCTACTTATTATTTTGTACCTTTTTTTTACTATTATTATTTTCCATTCAGGTTACATAACAATTTTAAATATTTTTGTAAATTAATTTGTTATAGGTTACATGCTGCGATACTGATTTCTGCAACGGATCAAAATCTGGCAGTTGCTTTTCTTTGGAATTTTGTTCATGGAAATTGCTTGCGGGAATTTTATTTGTAATTTTTGTAACAAATAACTAAAATTACCGTCAAAATGTTAATTTTACTTTAATTTACGTTGAATTTTCGTCAGACTTTTTTTTATTGGTTCCAATATAGTCGAACTTTTTTTCATTGAACAAAGTATATGTAAAGCTAAAGGTTTTTTGTAACATTGCAAAATTTTAACTTCATTTTCAATACAATTTAAAATTATAACATAAAGTATACATATGATTCATAAGATTTGACATTTGACCTACTTTTTGAAGAATAATAAAGTATTTTTTAAGCTTTTTCTAAAAAATGTTTTGTTTTAATGCGTTGTGATGTATTTAATAATTACTTAAATTATATAGAAATACCTAAATGTCATGCTGCTATAAATCATGCACCTAAATATCATGCTGCCACAAGCAACAATAGAAATATCAAATGATCTTCAAACTTTTTTATTTCAAGTAAAAAAAAAGTTTATTTGCATTTAGAGACAACGTGTCGTACCGCGCTAAAATATGATAAATATTATGATAAAAAAGCACAAGATTTATTTCGATTTGGCCAGTGTTGTTGATTACTGAAAGTAATCATTACAGTAAAGATTATCTCTTTCAAAGTAATGATTACTTGGTTTGTGGCAAATAATGGAAAATGTAATCATTACTTTTTTTGGAAAGTAATGAGTAATGGTGATATTAAAGTACCCTTTACTTTTGTTTTCCAACAAACAGTTAACAAACTCATTCAGGATTTTATAGTTGTAGAAATGAAACCTCTCCGTACTTTCGAATGTCTTTCTTTCTAAGCACTGGTGACTGGATTGTGTCCATCTGCGACTGTGCCATTTAGAATTAAATTGCAAGAAAGCATAAAGTCTAATTATGACACGATGTGTCTTGCAATCAAGGAACATTTATTTGTATTAATATATATATATATATATATATATATATATATATATATATATATATATATATATATATATATATATATATATATATATATATATATATATATATATATATATATATATATATATATATATATATTATTGATTATTTATTTGTATTAATATATATATATTATTGTATTAATATATATATATATTATTGATTATGTCTGTACTTCTGCTGATATCTGTACCAGTCATATCCAAAGTTTTTTAGGAATGAAATGCCACTGGATAAATCCTATCGTTTTGGACCAAAAATATGTTGCTTTTGGTTGTTTGCGATTTAAAGGAAAACATTCGTTTGATGTAACTGCATCAGCAATACATCAAGTGCATGCACGTTTTGCTTTTGAACAAAAAGTTGTGAAGACGTGCATGAATAATGCATCAAATATGATAAACGCATTCCGTATCTGCCAGAGTGTTAATGTTGGTGAGAAGAACGAGGATCCCGCGCCTGGGGAATCAGTATTGAACTTGAATGGAGATTCGGACTCAGTGAATGACGACGAAGACACTGGAGATTTATGTGAGGCAAATACATGCTTTGGCAGTACTTCCAATTTAGTTCTTAGCTCAACAAACGACACTGATGTTACATTGCCCCCACATATGAGATGCTGCACACATTATCTAAATCTGGTGTCAACCACTGATGCTGCAAAAGCATTAACAAATAAAACTTACATTCACAATCAAGCAATGGCAAAAGCAGCAGCTCTATGGAACTTAAAAAGTAGAAGTACAAAGGCTACAGATTTAGCGCATGATATGCCTCAATATACCTAGTAAGAAGGTGGAATTCGTACTACGAAGCTGTCAAGAAGATTCTTAAAGCCGAACAAAAACTAAACATCGTCTGCTCTACATTAGAACTTCCAGTATTTTTGCAAAATAATTTGTTTTTTCTGAAGGAATATGTTATGTTGTTTGAACCTGTGGTAAATGCTTTTATAATTTTACAAGGTGAAGCCAATTGCTACTTGGCTTACTTCCAACAATCCAGTCAGTTCAAACAACGCTCCAAAATGCAGAGATCAGATATACGGCACCACTAAAATAAGCTCTTATACAAGAAATTGCGAATCGCTTTGAAAGTTACTTTGATGTTCCAGAATTTGTTCTGGCAACAGTCCACATCCAAAATTCAAATCAGCTTGAACACAAAATATAGCCGTGAAGGAAAGGTCTATGCATCTATTGAATGCACAAGCTACAAAATTTGAAGAAAAAATTAAATAGTCCCTAAAAGACAAAGATGGTCAGAACGTTCCAACTGAAAATAACGAAGATAATTTCCTTTTCTCTGAAGTTAGCAAATCAAATATAATATCATGTGCAGGTCCGTCTTTACACATGTCCAGCCTAGGCAGCCGCTGCGAGGCCTAAGAAATTGTTAAGATTTTTTTTTATAAAAGTTAAATTTTTTTTTTATCTATGTTGGCAAAAAAAAAATTGTTTGTTGGATTGTACAACGCCTGGAATAAAACTATGGGACGGATTCAGAATGGATCCGAAATGATTACATGTCGAAAGAAATAGAGGACTTTTCCAGTGAAAATTAATTGCCAAAAAAAAAAAAAAAAAAAAACAAAAAAAAAAAAAAAAAAACTATATAAGAACAAGAGCTTATTATCAACAAGAATGTCCACCCCAACCAGATTTTATTTTCTACAATTTTAATGCAAGAAATGTTCAATATAATTTTTTTTTTTTTTTTTTTTTTATAATCTAACGATGAAAACCGATTTATATCTACATCACCAAATCACTATGACGTCATCAAACCACATCAATAACTATACTGAAGTATATTACTATTCTTTGATAAAGTATTGCAACGGTTTATATAATTATTTATTTAAACAGTTCCAATTCAAAAGCGAAAAACATTTACAAAAAATCAATAAAAATAAATTTATTTAAAGCGTTTTGATTCCAGCGGTTCTCTGCGACAAGACTTCAAGGGCTTCTTCGAGTTTCCGCATTCTTTAGGGGTCGTCCATAAAATATGTACGCTCATAGGGAGGAGGGGGTAGGTCTTCAAAAAGCGTACAAAAGCGTATGGGGGAAGAAAGGGGGGCGGAAGAGGTTTAATTCAAGATTTTCTAATTTATCACAATTAACCAGCTAATCAATAAAAAAGTTAAAATTCTGACTAAAGATCCTAGTTATCCAACATAAAAACATGTTTGGTATAGGGAGTAGAGGGTATAGTTTCCCTCAATTCACACGCGTGCAAAGGGGTCTGCAGGATTTTTTGATGTTCCAGATAGAACACTTTCACATAATGGGCAAACTCCAAACTTAAGTATGTTTATACCTATGCTAAACGAGGAGGCCTTGCAAAAAATTCAAAAGGCGGAGGCCTGGGAGCAAAAAAACCCTGAAATGCCCCATAAAAAAAAAAGAGGAGGGTTAAATTTTGTATGGTCATAATGTAATTTACAATATTTTTCTACGAAATTTTAAATATGTCGATAAATTCAAATTTAGTTTTAGATGGTGAAGTTGAAATTTTACTACATTAGTGCCCTCACGTTTATGCGGTAGGGAGGGGTGGTTCAAGTGTTTTTAGGCTTTTTTGTTCCTAGGCCTCCGCCATCACAATTTTTTGCAAGCCCTCATTTGGCATAGTTATACTTAAATTTTAGAGCTTGCACAAAAATCCATTTTGCACATTTGGCATAAGCATATTTATGTTTGGAGCTTGTGCAAGCTCCAAACTTAAGTATACCTATGCTAAATGTGTGAAAGTGTCCTATCTAGAACATCAAAAAATAGGCGACCATGCACACATGTCACCCCTTATATACTGGCTCTGAGTAAAGCGTATTTTAGGCAATATTTTTTTTGAGTCGACAAAAAAAAGGATTTTAGCAGTGCCGTGGCTAATGGGTCGGAGGCCCCCTCTAAAAAAAAACGTGTCATTTGGGTCTCAAAATCTTCCAATTTTTACCGCTAGGTTTTGCTAAAATAAAAAGCTCCTTAAATTAACAAAAAAATTTTTGTCCCTTTTCCCCCTACACCCTTCGCACCCCCTCCCCTTCAAACTCTTCAAATTAAGGGGTACGGGTAGCCTATCCTCGGCACTGGGTTTTAGGCTTTGTTTTCTATATTACTGATCTCGCGTAGCACTCATTTTTAATGGACTTACTAAATATGGGTGCCTAAAAAAAAAGGCCGCCTCAAGTATAGTTTATTTTTATTTGATTCGTCATAATAACGCAAACATTACCATTCATTTGTTCGACCGAGGATCGAACGCGGACCTCCGTCGCCTCAATCTGTAGAACTAACCGCTAGACCAAGCAAACAGATTAATGTAAGGTAATTAAACTATATTCAAATTTATATTTGCATATATTTTTGAAGAGATTTGATAAATTCGGATCCTGTGCCGCAAACGAAGAGCTTTTGGGTTGTATAAAGTAGCTAAGGTACCTCCTTCACTTTTTTTTTCTATAAACTTTTTCATTGAAAAAAAAGTTAGGGGGGTCTTAAAAAACGTACGTACTTTTTTAGGGGAGGAAGGACTTAGAAGTACGCATGGTAACAGAGGGTCAAAAGGTAGAAAGTAAAAAATTAAAAAGTAAAGTTAAACGTAACCTTTTATTTAGAAACGATGAAGTGACTTTAAGAACAGATTCTTGAACCTAAGGATGAGACCTGATTTTAGAGTGTTCGGAAGGGAGTTCCAAGAAAAGATACACTGGTATGTAGTGGAATTAATTCCATGTTTACTTGTCTGTTTTAGAGGGAGAGTTTAGTCGTTATAAGTGACTGACCTTGAGTTATTCCCACATGTTGTTCTATTATTAAAGTAGTCGTGAAATATAGTTAGAAGGACACCATGTTGTTGATCCTAGACAAATGAACTAACATCCTGATGAAACGGCTTAACTTCTGAGTAAGGTCTGATATGTGTGTTTTGAATGAAAGTTTTTCATCTAACACAACACCAAGATAAGTTATGTTACTAGACAAGTACATTTTTTGACCACTTAATCAAAAGTTTATTTATTTTGGAATATTTTTCTTATTTTTTTTATAAAAGTTAGTATTTCGAGTCTTAAATATAACTATTTCCAATTTTTTAGTATTCAATGA